CAATTTCAGTTCACTCAGCACAATTGATACTGAGAGCAGAATCAGCCTTTGTGTTTGTAGGAGCAACATTGAGTTATTCATGAAACATCCATGTGGAGTCTGCTGCCTTTCATTAGTGTTTTGAAAGATTTTGAGGCTGCCACTAATATTTTGTGAACATTTTCTTTATACCTAATGAAATCACTTGCCAAATTAATACAGCTTCATGAATTCCTTTGATGAATCATAATTAGCTACACAGGTCCTAATTCTGCAGTACATTTAAGCACATTTATTGCATGGTAAGTGCAACTGTATTCAGCAGAGCTCAGGGGGTTATATTTCTAGTGTCCATAAATCCCATGAATCAGAAGTTAATGTGCCTGAAGTCAATGTTTTTCTGAATGGTGCAGTTATAGCAGGACGCAGGCAGAAAAATGAAATGACAGTTCCCTGCTATGGAGATGATGGCATACACACAAAGGGAAACAAGCAGCAGCTGTAGGAGAAAGTGGAAGTTTGTAGCCAGAAGAGTTCCTGTGTCAGCTGTGCTGCCACGTGAGGCCCAAGCGCAGGCACCTGAGCTGTGCCAGCCCCGTGACCCTCCTGTCCTTGCAGTGCCTACATAGACAAAGCGAGCGACACGGCCGAGCAGGTGATCCTGATCGACAGCCAGCTGAACTCCCCCGAGGGACTGGCCATCGACTGGGTCCATAAAAACATCTACTGGACCGATTCCGGAAACAAGACCATCTCAGTGGCCACCGCAGATGGAAGCAGGAGGAGGACACTTTTCAACACTGACCTCAGTGAGCCAAGGGCCATTGCTGTTGATCCCACACAGAGGTAGGTGTACTCACCACAAACACCCCTTTGCCAACAGACACATTCCAGTTGTCTTTCTGCCTCTGACAAACCTGGGGATGGTTCTCATCTCATTAAGAATTTAGGTGCCCTTTAAGATACATCAATGGGACTACTGAGACGGTTCAACTCACTCTTGGCAAGGCCTTGGTGTTAAAGAAAGTTCTCAAATTCATGGCCAGATCATGTGTTTGATGGGCCTGAGCTGGTCTGGGCACATCAGTTGTGCTGAAAAATGAAGTCTGACCTGTGTTTGGGCTGCCTGGATGAGGGAACACCACGTACCTAACAGGCACATCAAGAGATAGTTTGCAGGGCTTAGTTACTAAGGTGAGATTTTGCATTCTGGTGCAAGTTTTGTGGCAGGATACCCAGTGGGAGAACAGCACGTGGCTCCACCAGGTGCACGTCAGAATTAACTGAAGTGGCCGAAGGCTTTGCTATAATAAGGAGAGAACAGGGCACCTCCTACTGCGAACTGCAGAACAGCTTTCCTAACTAGAGTCCAATTAACTGTTTTCTTACATCTTTCAGGTTCATGTACTGGTCTGACTGGGGAGACAAAGCCAAGATTGAGAAAGCTGGTCTGAATGGTGTGGGGCGGCAGGTGCTGGTGATGGACAACATAGAGTGGCCAAACGGCATCACCCTTGGTAAGTGCCCGGTTAGAGCTGCAGCACCCACTGTGCCTGAAGGAAACTGGTTTTATTGCTAAATAGGAAAACAAAATTGTACATGTGCAAAGGCACCTGCACACACACAAATCCTTAAATACTATCACTACTGCAGGAGTGGAAAGGAGGTTTCATGGAGCAGCAGGAAACGTCCTGCTCTGGAGTTAGAGCCGTGCGTTTAACACCCATCCAGGTGTGAGGTTCTCTGCTTGGTTTTATATTTGAAAATTCTGGCCATGACAAGGATGTAGGAGAAAATGCTGCTGCCATTGCATAGTACTGAAGTGCTGCTGCTGTGAACAAATAATGTTATCATTTAGTAATTAAGAAATTAATTAATGACTTGTTTAATTACATTACTTGTTTTGTGTTGGCTCTCATCCACTTGCATTCTGTTCAGTGAATCTCATCCAAAATGAGTGAATTTGCTCCAGAAAGAGAAATGCAGTGCTTAGCATTCCAAATAACATTGGATCCTTCCCTCTCTCTCTTACCTGCACCCTCCCCAAAACCTGGCTGGTTGTGGCAGGAGCAGCATTCCCCACCAGCAGCATTCCCCAACCTGCAGCACGAGGGTTTCTGGACCCAGGGTGGTTCTTCATGGAAAACACAGCTCGGGAATCTCACAGCTCCTTCAGAGAGGCATTTCCCTGGAATCACGGTAGTTGTTCTCCAGCAAGAGGCCAAGGCCTGAACAGCCTTGGGAGGGATGGAGCTCCTCTCTCAGGCACTGAGGGAGTGAGTCCGGGAAGCCCAAAGTGCTGCTGCCCTGCTGCTCCTGGTAACAAAAGAACCTCATTGTACAAGGCTGTCAGTCAGGCATTCCCCACACACACATACAGCAGAATGGTCCTCCTTTTTAATCTTATTTATAGGGTCTTATTCCAGCATATCTGGGCACTGGTTCAAAATCAGAACTAGTGTTAAAAAAAAAAAGAGGCCCAATAATAAAGAGATTAGTCATGCTGCCAGCAGGAAAAACATGCTGGGCAAGAGAAAAAGAGTTGCAAGAGCTGTGTGTAATTTTGCTTCATTGTGTTTTACTTTTCAGATTTGCTGAATCAGCGTCTCTACTGGGTAGACTCCAAATTGCATTCTCTGTCCTGCATTGATTTCAATGGCAGCAACAGAAAAGTTCTGATCTCATCTGTGGATGATCTGAGCCATCCTTTTGGCTTGGCAGTGTTTGAGGTAAGACTCGACAGCAGATGCAGAACAGCCTGGAGACTGGGAGAGGTCTCAGAGCTGTTCTTGATTAAAGCTCTGCCTCTTGCACAGCACAGAAAGCTCACGAGGGCGGTCGCTGCTATAGAAACCAATTTATCTGGTGTGGGTTCAGCAGGGAAAACTGGGTTTTAAAGTCCTTAATCAGGGGCAACGTGTTGTCTCATGCTTTTACCTAATGCAGCACCAGTGCATTAAATGATCAGAGAAACCAAGGCTCCAGCTTTGGCACTCCCTGTAGGTAAGCTATAGCAGAGAAAGGTGTCTGGTTGGCTTTTGACTCAGCAAAACCCTCTTCCTTAAATCCCTAATTCTTCCCATGCACTGTGTGTGAAATCTGGGCATCTAACTCTGGGCACGTGTTTCCCCAAGGCATTGCTGCTCTTCAGTGTTATCCCATCAGCAGTGTTTGGAAGGATCTCTTGGGTTATTTCCCCTCTTTACACCCTTCCTGGGTAGAGTAACAGACAACCCTCTTGCTTTTGCTAAGTTTTCCTTGTTCTCCAGCAGTGTGTCTTTCCTTATGGAAATACACATGGTTTTTAGCAGGCAGCAGCAAACACAGCCAACTGAGTAACTAAATACAGTTTGAGAACTGCAGTTTCTGGCTACCTCCTGGACCAGTAATTCTGCATCTTCAATCGTAGTATGCCAAGATAGTAATAAAAAAGAGAAATAGACACTCAGCTTCCAGCTGTGCTCCAGGCACTGGCCTCTTCATAGATACCTGTTTAATGCAGGTCTTTTCTTTGGAAAGGAGAAAAAAAGTCAGCAGAGATAACAAATGTTTCTAGTATGGAGTATGGCCCTTTGCTCGTGATCCACCCCAACTCCAAAAAAACCCATTTCAGAGGGAGTACAGATGCAACTTGTCTGTACCCACCCAAATTTCTGCTCCCTCCCCTCAGCCTCAGAGCTCCTTAGAATTACTGAGCACTTCATAAACACACCCGAGTGCTGAGCTTTGAGCACTGTCCAAGAATAAAAAGAAAAAAGCTGCAGGTAGCAGTAGCATGAACCAAAGGTGCCCCAAGGTAGGAGCATGGTGCACTGACTCTGTGCCTGCTGGAGTTTAATCCAGCTCGAGATGGATTTGAGCAGGCCAGGTCAGGAATCCTGTGCATTCCCTGCAGGACAGAGTGTTCTGGACTGACCTGGAGAACGAAGCAATCTTCAGTGCAAACAGGCTCAATGGCTCGGACATTTCCATTTTGGCAGAGAATCTCAACAACCCTCATGACATCGTGGTGTTCCATGAATTAAAGCAGCCCAAAGGTAAGATGTGTCCTCGGGGTGTCATGGCCCTGAATCATGTTTATTTGAGCTGGCAAATGAAATGCTTCCTGATGGTTCTTGATGAGAGAGAAAGCATAGGTAATAATGGGAAATCAATGCTTAATGTTTGAAGTTCCTGCATAATTAATTCAGCAGCAGCACTTATTGGAAAGTCTGCAATTTGTTAATAGCTATTTAATTAGCATCTTTGATAAGAGTGAGTTACTCTTGTCACTGTGATGCTTCCCATTCATTATGTATTTGGGCAGTTTTTATAGTGCTGTGTAAGGTTCCACTCCACTGTACAAACTGTAAAGGTGCTTAAGCAGCCCAATTAATTGATGTAGGAAGTGGAAGAAGGTCTTTTTAGAGGGCAAGAAATAAATAATTAGAAAAATAACTTGTCTTTTCTTCCATCCTTGAACAGCTCCAGACTCCTGTGAGCTCAGCCCCCAGCCAAACGGAGGCTGTGACTACTTATGTCTCCCTGCACCTCAGATCTCTCCCCACTCTCCCAAGTACACCTGTGCCTGTCCTGACAACATGTGGCTGGGTCCTGACATGAAGAAATGCTACAAAGGTAAATACAATCACATCTCCTTCACTATTCCTGAGAAATGGAATTGGAATTTGGTTTCTGCTTCTAGTCATTAAACATAACAGTCCTCCTCAGATTTATTCGTGATTTGCTTTGTGTACTTGCTTTAACCAAACTTTATTGTTGCTCTGGATTTTCAGATCTTCCAACAACTTCAGCTCCTGTTCTGGTTTCTACAACCACAGCACCCCATTCTGCTGGTACCACGACCATCACAGCTATACCTGGCGGTGCCAGGAACACCACTGAGGGCATCCCCAAAGCTGTACCAGAGGCTACAATTACCACCCCAAGTCTTCATTTACCTTCCACCACATCCATCCTGATAGATTCCGAGATGACCACTGGAAACAGCAATTTATCCCAGCACTGTAAGAGAAGGAGATTCCTCTTTCCCTTTTCCATACACACCATATCACACCACCCTGTGCACTGGTGGGAGACCCGACCTCACGTGCGAGTTCCAGTTGGCTCAGGTGCAGACACACCCTGGTGCACAGCAGGACACACCAGGTGCTCTTTCTGCAGACACCTGGGTTACAAGGGCTGATGTGATTCCAGCCACCAAGGAGGTTAAGGAACTTACATCAGGTATCCATCACATGAAACGGCCCTAAGAGTTCACCCTAGACCTTGTGCACAATACTGTTTCATCCCAGCACTGTTTGCAGTGCTGCAGACAGTAGAATGGATGATTCTGGAAGCACTTCACCTATTTGAGTTGTTTAGTTATTAATGTGATCCAGCACAGGCTGTGGGTGAAAAATGCCCCGTGTGCAGCTTTAGCGCTGCTGGACATGTGGAACCACTGCAGCCCCAGACAAGCTGCCTCTGGTTTGTGTGGCTGTGCTTGGCATGTTAATGTGGCCTCGGCATGACACAGCTTTGAAGGTTTGCATTATTTATCAGAAAAGCATCCCAGTGGAGAGCACTAACAGGCTCTCCTCCAGCTCACCCTCCATAATGAGTGAGCAATGGAACACCAGCCTACATCTCGGAGAACAGGTGATCCCTCCAGATCCTGCTGCCAAGGCAAACTGCACAGGCTGAGTTGCTTCTCAAAAGTCCATAAAATTCTAGTCAGAGAGAGAAGACTTTGCTCTACAGGACCTCAAACAGACCCACATTGCCTTACAAACAGTAAAATACTTCTTTGCCCCAAATGTTTCACTGTTTCCATTGCATCTGGGAAGCAGCAATAACCATCCCTGTCTGTAGAACAGCAGTGCAGCGTGGGGAAAGCACAGCCCAATGTCTAAAATGCATTCAGTTAAGTTCTCTTCGTGCAAGTTTCTTTCAAATGTAATAATTACCTTTTTAACAAGCCATGGAAACAAGGTGCTTTTATTGTCCACGCTGGAAGCAGTGTGCCACAGGGAAGTATTGAAGAGGATAAATTACCTTTTAAGTTCCATGAATTGGAAAAGCTACAGTTAGTTTCTCCTCTCTCAGTTCCTGATGTTTTAGCAAAAGTAAATTTTCTATGCTGATCCCCTACATAAGAGCTCAGAACAAACATTTTAACGTATACAGCTCTAAAGGTATATTTCTTTTTTGAAGTATTTTTCTGTAATAGTTTTTTTCTCTTCTAAGTACAGTATTGAGTTTTGGGGCCATTCCTGCATGCTGGGGCAGGCTGCAGCAATGAGGGATGGATGTACAGACTGACTCCTTAGCTGTAAATAATAAAAGAAGGAAAAAATTAAACAGAGAAGCTGTGCAGATGGCTTTGAACTACACTCTTTTTCTGACAGCTCAATAAATCATTAATTTTGTGTTCTGCTGTGGATTTTTAAGAGCACTGTTCACCATCCCCTGATCCGTGCATGGTATTTCCATTACACGTCATGTTTTTAAAACTGGCCTCGTTTTTTGTGCTTGAAAATTAGAGACACAAGCTGTGACAATTTTATTGTGAAACTTTTGGTAAACTCTGTGACAACAAAAGCTTTCTGATGGGCAGAGCAACATGGGCACTAACATAAAACATTCTTTAAAACCAGCAAATGAGTTAAATGATCAGAACAACTTCTGTAATTCCAGATGCAAATGATGACGAAGGCTTCGGTTCAACTGTGACAGCGGCTGTGATTGGAATTGTCATTCCTGTGGGTAAGCTGGTTGGATTTAACCTTCGAGGATCACACCCAAGCACCAGTTTTCAGGAGTGGGGTGGGAAAGAGTACAGGAACTTCTGAAATGGGGATAAGTAGCTCAGCTCTGAGAAAATTCTACAAGGATGGCTCCCAACATGGGAACATCCCAGCAGATCCGTGCCTGGCTAACAGCCCTGTCTCTCCTCTCTCCTCAGTGGTCATTGGCCTGCTGTGCATGGGGGGATACCTCATCTGGAGAAACTGGAAACGGAAGAACACTAAAAGCATGAATTTTGATAATCCAGTCTATAGGAAGACAACAGAAGAGGAAGATGAAGACGAGATCCACATTGGGCGGACGGCCCAAATCGGACACGTGTACCCAGCAGTGAGTGTCTGAGGGACAAGGGGAATTTTGTTGAGAGTTTGGATACAGAATTTCAATTATTGTGGGTTATTTGCCATATAACAACAAAAACAGAACTTTTTTAATATCATTGATCAGGCAGAAGCCTAAACTTCCAGGCAGCTCATGCTGTTGTCTTAGAATACAGTGCTCTGTATAAGATACTCTGCTCAAATGAAGAATAATTGTCCTAATCAAGATACTAAGCTGACAAGCATAAAGGTACCTCAGTGTGGGATAGCTGATTACTTATCCTCTACTGGATTGTTATATCTGTGCTTAGACTGCTACCAAGTGTCTAAACTATCTTAAGGATAAATTGAGTTTCTCTACAAACCAGGGAGACTGCTTTCTCTGCACTAACAGTGTAAAAAAGAGTCTCATTCCTCACAAGGAGGAGTGTGTGAGTTCTGTAAGAAGTTAAGGAAAAGGAGGCTCCCTCCCTGTGGCAGCCCTGGGGAGATGAGCACTGGCAGGTGTAACTGCACTGTGTGTTCAGGAGAGAGCAGAAAGATCCACAAGTAAGGAGTGAAGGCAGTACAGCTCCTATAGGCAGGCAGGTGTGTGGGTAATGCCCCATATCATCTAAAGGCCCTGCACCAGATCACACTAGAGAAGGTGTCATCTCTTACAGGGAACCTAATCCCTTACACAGGGCAGTAAACTTTCCAACACCTCGTTAGTAACACTGGGGCAACTGACCCCATTGGGGGGAAAAAATCACTCCCTAAAATAGCTTTGTCACCGATACACTTGGGACAACAATGAGAGATTCAACAAGAAATACAAGTTAGCAACAGTATCACCATTCCCAGACTTTCTCAAGTGTGTTTCTTCTCCTCCCCAGCGTGTAGCACTGAGCTTAGAAGATGACGGGTTGCCATGAGGACGAAGTTGCTGCTCCAAAACCACACCGAACAAACCTGCTTTGGATCACAGAACCTGCTTCCTCTTTTTGATCGTTATTTATGTTGCAGAAGGGTAACCACAAAGTTATAATGAACTGCAAACATCCAAAGGATGTGAGAGTTTTGTATGTATAATCTTTTATACACATTTTAACTTGTTGCACTACCCATTTGTGATAGTGAATAAGCGACAGCTGAGCTACTAACTCAATGTACATAACCAGCCAGGCTGAAGGCTCAGTAGCTATTGCTTTATTTTAAGACTATATTTATAGATATTTTGTAAATATGTTGAATATGCTTTGTGGCTATCCATCAACATAAGTAAAATAAATTCTGTACAGGCAGTTTAGAAATATTTATTAACAAAATCTGGATTATAAGATCTGTTCTGTAAATATAGTAGAGGGGTGAGAGTATTTATTTTTTGTATGTTTGGCTTGCTGTGCATAGATTATCTGTGTATATATCTATCTGGACAAGATAGATATATAGGCATATAAATATATACATATATATAAGAATATATACATATATTTTAAAACTACTAGCCTACCTTTATGAAAATTAGGGATAATTGAATTTTTACAGGATGTTTGAGAAGTTTGCTTTGAAATCTAAAGACACTAAGTAAGAAAGAGCTGCAGGGTAAGACAGCTGACCAGTGAAGCACTCCTTTAGAAACAGCTCCTGATTTCCATCCTGGCTATTAAGGGTTGCTTTTACATTTTCCAGTCTATCCATGAAGAATCCTCTGCAGTGCTTTTAACTATTTCCTACAGCATTCCAGTCAGGAGAAGCTCCTACAGCACCCAGGGGGTTTGTGTTGTATTGTTGCTTTTTAAACAGCTGGGTACAAATCTGATTTAGGTTTTTTATTTATTTCTAAATGTATATCTAAATGCTTTACCACACTGGGAATCTTGCACCTCTCAAATCAGCTCAGAATTAGCAGAAACCAAGATGTAGCCATATCCTTCCACACAGCTGAAGTGAGCACTCCCCTTGGATCATCAGGAAAAAACTCCACACAATACCTGAAGTCCCTTCCTTCCCTCCTTGCCCTTGTCCCCTGCTCGTACTGACTGAGTCCAGCTCTAAGAGGTGCTGTGGGCAGATGTGGAATTCCTTCAAGTGCAGCAATTACTGCCCATGGAACATCCTGCACACGGCAGGAATCCCAGACTGCAGAGCACTGGGCAAGGAGGCCAGAGCAGGTTAAAAACCCACAGCCTTCCCAGTATCTTTGGCTGGGTCATCCTGCACCTTGTAGAAAAAACACTTGTTTTTTTTCATCTCATTCCGTAAGATTCCCAGGGAATTCTGTGGGAAGTGAATACACTTAGTATCATTGCATAATGAACTGTAACAAATCCTAGAGCAATCTTCCTCATGTTTTTATGTCAGTCCAAGCTTTCATATTCAAGTGAGTAGAAGAAACTCATCCTGAAGGGGTTTGAGGGTTTTTTTTTAACTTTTTAGAATAAATTCACAGTGTAATTTGAGCTGGAAGCTGATTCTTGACTAAGAACAGGAAGAAAGTGTCTAAAGCCCTTACAAACATAATACATACTCTCAAAATGCTTCATGGCCTGCATAGACAATACAGAAGTAATCAAGCATCCTTCTATTCAAAATTTTAGATTTTAAGGCAGTGAAAAAATGAGTGAGGTATCCCATTATTGTTTTAAGGTATGAAGCTCTCTTTCTACAAATCCATGCACTGTGTGCATGAAGAAAAAAGCTGAGCAAAGGCTGTATGTGATAACACTGTAACTAACAGAAGAATGTAAATATATTTGAAAGTTCTACAGTTTTGATACTTTTTTAAGAACATGTACTCACAAACCTGTACAAACCACGTGCAAAAGGCTGCAGGTTTTTTCAAACCCTTGTAAATGAACTCAAGGTGCAGTGCTGATTTCAACCTTTACAGATTTATAGCTACTGAGAAGTCAAACACCAAATTTGTTTTTTAAGAAATTAATTATTTTAAATAATGGTTCAGGTTGTTAGGGTGATATTTAACACTGTAATCATTTCTGATCTGTCTTGTCATACTGAAGTTCTGTTAGAGTAAGTTCTTGCTTGGTGCCTTTTGTGTTTCAGTTCTTAAGTTGCGGACAAAAGGCCCAGGAGGGGCGGGGGGGGCTCTGTGTAACACTTGCTGTACTGGAAACCAAATGAACACGTTTGTAAAACAGTGCACTGTTTCTAGAGAAAGATTAAATTTTTTTATCTGGGACTACTGAACTAATTACTTCATGGTGTCTAAAATGGGTCCATATCATAGTTTGGTCTGAGTTTTCCTTGACTGTGCAAAGCCAGAGTGGGACTCGGGAGCACTGCTGTGAAACAAGGATATTGTGCACAAGGAGGGACAACTGGAGGCATTTTCTGAAATGGCTGGGTGGTTTGGGTGTGACATTCACCTGTGCAGAGAAGCTTGAGCAGGCAGTCAAATGCTCAAAAGACTTTTCCCCTTTCAGGGATTGCTGGATGTCCCCTTTGGTCTGTGTTTGTGGGACATCAACTGCGTAACTTAAAACTGAAGTTACCAGCCAGGGGAATAAAGGAGCCATAAATACCCGGATCCATTAACATGGACCTCCTGAAAACCAGGACAACCAAACTGTGCATCAAATGACCATTTTCTTCCTCCCCCAGGCAATCTGCAGGATGTACCCAAAGCAGCATTAGATATCAGAGCACTGAAGACAATACAACCTTTCCCCATCACGTGTTGGTACAAAGTCCTTTTCAGTCAATTGTTGGCCCTAAAGGAAGCTGCCAAGCAGATATCCCTTTTCAGACACATGGGATATTACCAAACTAATATGGACTTGTGTACTGGTAAATATTGGTGGTGTAGTTTTCTATTTAACTGAAAACAGGTTTTTCTTAGTTTAAAATATTTCTCAATTCCAGTTAAATATTTTAGCAGAGTAATAGGGTAGCAAATAGAAAAACTGAAAACAACAACAAAAGCAACAGCTCCAGGTCTAAACAGAAAGGACAGAACAAATGAAAAGTGAAAGAGCCTCATAAGAGGGTCCCAGGTAGGTTTGGGATTGCCTAAACAACTTTTTTTTTTTACTTTATGCTCTATTAGCAATAAAATTCCGGTGGTTTGTTTCACTTTTTTACACACAGTAGCTGTACAGTCTGAGCTAATCCACACCAATCCTGTGCTGCCTACTTCCCTTAAGACACTGTACAACTACATGGACTCATACTCACACTGTTTGTTCACCATCCAATCAGCC